AGAATGTAAAACTGTTTTACTAGACTGTCTGACGGACCAGCGGAGAATGAGGACGAGACTTGGAAAAAATTAGGGATGTTGGTTAGCGGGGGTGGATTGTTGGAGTAAGATTAGGAATTGTTACTATTGGTTCAGCTTGACAAATTTTTAAGAAGAAGAGCATGGAGTGGTTAAAGAAATTAATTCATTGGTGCTGGGAATTTTGGCGGGAGTACTCTGCACAAGGGTAAAGGAATTGCTGGATCAGGATTGGATGAGGATGACTTCATTGTAAATGAATAAGGAGTTTTTAGTGGGGTTTTCCAGGAAGGGTCATTGAGTCATAAAGTTAGGAGAGTCCGCATATGCATCGCATAAACAACGTCAATAACAGTCAAACTAAATATGCTTTCTATAAACATTTCCGTTAGGCTCTACTCATTGTCAGTAGACCTAAAACCTATATATTAAATAATCATATTTTTGGGTCGCTATGTGATGAAAACCAGACCCACTGTTTAGTCTTCCCATAGTCCGACATAGACCACGTACGTAGGATCCGATTTTCCACGCGGACGTAACAATATATATATATGTATATATATAAAGCTTCGCACATTTGAGCAATGCTCTCAACCCTATTGACGTTGGTCCCTAGACGGTGAGTAAAACTCTGACAGCTCGTAAAGAGGGATGTTTCGAAGACCAGACTACTGGCTGATTCATAGGGATGCCACGTTGAGATAAAGAGAGATGAGCTTACGGTTCGTCAGTTCACTAGTATAGAATCGTAAAACAGCAATTTATCCCTTTGGGACTTAGTAGCCAAGGGTTCGCTCGTAAACCGTCGTCGTCGTGATCGTCGTTGTCTTCTCACATCCATCTACTTTTTCACACGACGCATAGCGCTGGCAACATTGTCTTCTTTAGCTATGCGTGCTCTGGATGGTTTGGTAGTTTACGAATACAGAACACAATCAAATACATTTTGTACGTAAAGCTACCGTTCACACCGAATTTCCAGTACTGGAAATGGCTAAGGCTGCTTTCACAATATTATAGAATTATTAAGTCTTTAGCTCGTCTTAGTCTCGTACGGAAAGTGTAACCGCATTCATATGGACCGCGTGCAGTGTATGATGGGTATACGCATCTGTGTGCTTCGAAATAGTTCCTCGTATTTCAGGTGACAGTTTTTAGAGATATAGGATATCCAGGTGTTCTTTCCGTAGTTTCCTGTGTCTAGGTATTAGATGTGGAAGTCCAGGGTGTCCAGGTATTCCTCTTCGTAAACTCCTGTATCTACACGGAGAAAAATGTTTTAGTAACTACAGCAAAATTTCATTTCTTAAGTCTGGATCTGTTATTACAGCAAATCGGAATGATATTACAGCAAAAATATTGTCGTTCCAGTAAAAATAAGTTGCAGTAGGAACAAAAATTTTCTGTTACGGAATATTTGCTAATGCAGCAAACGATTTGCTGGCGTAGCAAAGCATTTGCTCAAGTCACCGATTTGGTTTGTAACTGGTATTACTTGGCAAGATTTCTTGTGATACATTGTTAAAAATTATTTGAAATTCACAACACGTTTATTGTACCGAGTTAAGTGAAATTTACAAATGACGTCTCTAAAAGAAAAATTTATGCACATTGTATTGTTACCTTGATAATCCAATATTAATTTCGACATACTTATGTGGAATTTAATATGGATGACATTGAATAGTGATTCACCGTTAAAGAATTTTTACAATATTTGTATATTAAATTGTACGTTATGAACGGACTATAGAAAAATACTACACAATTATGAATTTCAATTGCCGTTGGATGCAAATTACGAAGCACGTGTAATTGAGCATCAATATACATGACATTTTTATTTGCAACATTTGTAGTTGGAAAATGCGATTCTGTGATGACAAAATTCAATTCGTTACTGAAAAAATACACTTCTATTATATTATAAATGGTCTGTGATAGACACATTCTTATACATAAGTTTATTGGAAACAATATAGAGATAAAGTAAATTTAATTTTCATAGCACGTCTGTCGAAAGTTCGATTTTCAACGTCTCCGAAGAGTCGCGAAAGTAGCCGATTTCCGAGTTCGACTCGGCTTGGTTCGACTTTGTTCGACTTTCTTCGGCTCACTTTCAACACTAGTGTCGAAAGTAATTGCTCTGTTCGACTCGGTTTTGCTAGGTTCGGCTCACTTTCAACACAAGTGTTGAAAGTGATAAGTCTACTAGAGTATATTTGTAATATAGTTCTAGTAATATAGTTCAATTCTAGGGGCCGTGGCCCGCGATCTCTTCGTAGACGCCAAAAATCGAACTCGCCAGACTTGCTATAAAAAATATTGTGTTTGACATGTTGCGAAATAGGCAATTACTGAATCGTGTGATGGCGGCACGAGCCGAAGGCGAGTGCCGCCAACTTCACACTCTTCGACAATTGACCCAGATTTTTTTAACAGTGTATACGTCTATCAAATAATGATTTTGTTACAAGATATTATTTTTTTGTTAGTGTAACATAAGTAGCGATTGCTGTCAGAGCTTAAAAAATTCGAGCTAATACAGCAATGTGACAATTATGTCCCGACAATTGTCAAAAGTTGTACATAACAACTTCGAGGTTTACGTTCGTACCTGTGCGGAATCTGTAGTGTAAAACACAAAAACCTAGCATTCGAATTCTGAGACGGTAGAATTTTTTATACATATCTTACTTATATAATTCGGAAGCATTATAGGATGTAGTACACACAGGAAATAGTAATTATCCATACAAGTGCGCTAAAATTGTTTCTGACGAGAAAAAGTTTAAATTTATAAATAGTATATTATGTGACAAGGGATGAAACAATACGATTTCAGACTAGGGTGAAGTTGGTTGTCCAAGCTGTAGGCGAGGCCTGGCATCACCCGTAGTCTGAAATCGTAGAAATCATAGGAAGCACATCATTTTCTATGTTGCTGCAGTAAATGATATTTGCTTCCCTAGAAAACCATTGCTAAGAGATGTACAAGTTTTTGTATGAAAATTTGAGAGATAATCGTTAAATGCTTCACTAATGTTTTGTAAATGCACTTTTCAACAATATATTATCATAAACAAGACTTTGATCGCTCTGCAGTATGTAATTAAATATAATCAGTGTTGTAATTACAGTAAATGACCATTTCTGGATTCGACAGTGTTACTCTGAAACCTTTTAACATTTCCCTGAGTATCATTCATCTGAACTAGGTGAAAAACCCATCAAAGGATAGTGGGATAACTCTAAAATATCCAAGCACGTTCGAATCCGTACTTCGCCCGCGCGCGAATCATAAGCGCGGTCACATATTATGAATTTTATTTCAAAAAATATTCAACGGTCGACTTTCAAATTTTCAGACAATATTCTCTGTACTTTAATATCTAACAAATTACAGAAAAAATTATTCAATTTGAAGATGCTCATTTTGAAATAATACAAATTGTTTAAGAACTTGTTGCATAACAATTATTAAACGACCGAATTTTCGATCATTAAAACGTGGACTTTAAAGTGAACCCTATTGCACATTTTGCCCTGCAGTGCTTTCTTTTTAGCCAAAAAGTGGACGATGCACAATACATTTAAAGAAGAACCGGTTTTTTGGATTCGATAAATTAAAAAATCGATGTTTCGAAATTTCTTCATATCATATTGAAATAAAAAACTACGTGTCATTTTTTTTCTCCTCAAGAATAAGGGGAACAATTTTCTGGAAAATAAAAAATTTGGTTTTAAATCTAAAATGGAATGACCCATTTACATTTTATATCTATAACAATATATTGTACATTTGAGTGCTTAGAGCTTCTATATTCCGTTGAGCAACAAAAACTTGTAGGGTATCCCGAAAAAAAACACGTGTAAAAAACTACGCCAATTACAGGAGTGCTGTGAATTTCTCTAACAAAAATTGAAATCATGATTAATGCCAAGTACATAAGTCACTATATGTCTGCCTATTATATGACTTCAATATTTTTTATTAGAGGAATTCACAACACTCCTATACTTGGCGTAGTTTTTTACACGTAAATGTTTTTTGGGGATTAAGGTTGACCCGAGAATATGGGCCCAGGAAGTGTTTAAATCGAACCAGTTGTACTAGTCAGAAACTCGGTAAACTAGACTTTTGATTACGTCAAAATTGTACGATGGGAGAGTTTTAGCTAATCAAACATCTGATTTTTTAGTTTAAAGGCTCCTCTGACAAAGCTGAGAAAACTCCTTTATTCTAGATAGTATGGGACTCAATGCTGAGAGGGGCGTATACAATAGATGATAGGAGTGACGAAGAAAATTAAAGTAGTGGGGACTTTAGCCAATGTGGCGGTAGGACTCGCTGTTTATAAGGAAGACGCTCTTGATTATTCAAGATGGGGGCTGTAGGAGGGCGTGATCGCTTGTAGCAAAGCGAACAGGATGCAATAGCGGGAGTATGAGTGAATGTCGAGGGACGATGTAACGATCAGCTTTTGTAGTGAGATTGGGGGGGG